TGTGTGTGTGTGTGTGTGTGTGTGTGGCTATCTACCATGTAGCATACAGAATGAACCATCAGCTGTCTGCGTTACAATTAGCCATCATCATCAAACCAGCAGCCAAATCTCAGCTCCATAGAAAACACAAAAATAGAACCTATATCAATAAAATTAATCCAACTGGATTATTTCTAAATGCATGGCCATCAAATGTCAACTCACCTTGAATATCTTTTATTGTAAGTCCACAGCGCCCTGTGCTATAATGCAGTAGCCCTGATGAGGCGGCTGTTTTTAATTAAGTTTAATTGATGTTCTCTTTGTGGCGGATTCTTGAGTAGAAATGCCCCATGAAAACAGAACCAGTTTGTCGAGCCCTGATTCTGTTTTATTTAAAACTGAATGGAGCCAAACAACCAAAGCTCTCTAGTTAACTGACAGTAATAGAGGTTAAATGTTCTACAGGTGCATTACATCACTTATAGTATTAAAAGGATGTTGGTATAATTTTTGAATAAAGTATGTTTTCTACACCTACGTTCTGCAAAGCTATTTTTCTTTGCTATGAACCCTTTAGAAACGACAACAACAAAAAAAGATATGAACAAAATGTGTGGAGAGTTAGGGCTGCCATCTTTAATAATGACAATTATCATGAGAAAATCCTGTAAATTAACAGCTTTTAACACTTTTTACAAGCCTCCTTTAAAAAAATAAAGCTCAAATTGTCCTTAATGTTTCTGTCTGGACAGTGTAACTATTGCTTATTTAGATTAAGGCTGAATGCTTTTAAAAATCTGGTTTATGTGATACTAAATGGATATTAATGGGTCCTGTGCATGTTTAGCAAATGTAAGGAAATGTAAGATCAGTATTATCTCTCAGTCTCCTTTAGCTCTGAGAGGATGCATACAGATGTATTTGAGTTTGTGGATTAGATGGAATTTTTATCAGCAATAAAGTAGGAAATTATACTGTTTCATGCATTTCATGCTTTATTGAGCTCTGAAATTTCTACATGTGAGTTGAAAGCTTAAAGTTGGATCTGGGGGAGTAGAAAAAGAAGAACGATCTCCCCACCTCCTGTCCTCTTCTCATTGTTGCCTGCCAGCAGCTTGAGGCTAACTGCATCTACAATAACAAACCCAGATCTTTCTGCACATTCCCAGTTTTTGTGTTTCATAGTGGCTGTAAAGACACGTTATCTTCTATTGCATCTCTATAAAACTTTGTAGAAAACAGTCTTTTATGATCAGGGAAGCGTTGCTAAGGAGCATTTGTTGAATTTCTGTGAAAACAGAGCAAAATGATATCTGCATTAATGAACAGAAAGACTTATGTCCTGGAAGAATTTATGATTCAGTGAAATCATAAATAACTATTTTAACAAAAACGTATTAAATAATCAATTTATGTAGATATTAGTACTTGTAAATATAATTATTTTGCAAAATAATTGATAAGTGTAACTAACGACAAAGGAAAAGATGTTCGCCCCAGAACTCTGAAAGTATTGTATCCACTATACCTTTTATATAGGAAGATGTTTAAATATATGCGTCTATTTGTTGGCAAAGGCTGTAGGAAAGGATATTTTGTCTTTATTTAGAAAATATGGATGTTGTGCTCATTAAAAAAAGATTGATCCTGAGGTTCTGGCACTGATGCACTTTTGGCCACCCCTCAGTGTACATTTGTTATTGCCTGGCCACCCTTATAAACATTTTCTGGCTACGCCCCTGAATCAACCAATATACTATATATATTATATTGTATGTTTATATTGTATATAAGTATAGATTTTGTAGTCTGAATATATATCCAATTTGTCTGCACCATCAACACCAAATCAAATTTCTTGTTAGTGCAAATAAACTTGGCAATAAATCAGATTTTTTTTTTTGTTTTTTTGTTTTTTGCCCCTATGTTACTTTTTTATTTCAAAAAGTTAACTGATGATTTTATTTAATTTCAGTTTAATATGGCTATTCTGACTTTTTACTCAGAATTCTGACTTTAATCTCAGAATTCTGACTTTAATCTCAGAATTCTGACTTTCATCTCAG